AAACTAAAAAAAACCCAAAATAACCCGACCAAATGACAAATAGTCTATAAAAAAAAACTAAAGCATACCAAAATATATAATTTGTAAAGACTTGCATGCAACTAGGCCTATACAGTAGCTCTATGTTCTTATAGATCTCATAGCATTACGATTAAAAGTCAGATTATGTGTGTGTAAGTTTATTAGAAAATTCAACGAGACGTCCTAATCAGGTAAAATCCAAAATAAAAATTTACAAATTCAGATCTACTGCCTGTTGTATATTGCTTACATGATTGTATATTGCCAAACGAATAGATATATTTGGTACGGGAGGGATGGCGGCTTCGAAGCGGAGACAAAAAGACCCAGATAAATGAAAGTGTAGAATTTTGTTGTTGATAATTTTTTTTTTAAGAACTAGATTCATATCTCAGAATTTGAATATAGCATCTCGTTTTCTTTAGATAAATTGTTAGCTATTACTGGCTATAATAATTACCCTCTTATAAGTATTCGCAAAACATGAAGTTAATGATCAATGAATATGAAAACACTTTATAAAGTATAAATATTGGTAAACGGACAGCAAGTCATAGGACTATTATAGTTCGAATAAATTAGTTTACAATAACTGTTGAAAGGTTATGAGAGAAAAATCTGAATGAATTTATTTTTATTAGAATGATTTATTTTACAGTAAAGGCTTCATATTTTTAATCAGTTATGTGTAAAAGAAAGGTGACATGTTTAACACCATGGAGGCAGTAAATTAACAAACTACTATGATGGATTTTTTTCTTTACAATCATTGATCATTATTAATATTTAAAAATAACTTTTGTTTACAAATTCGTTTTAATAGATAATGGTTCAAGAAAAAAACTTTTTGAAAATTAGTCTGTTAGTTTCCAAAGAAAAAAATATCTTAAAAACTGAACTGTGAGTTTTTCAATCGTAACGTTTTGTTATACTTTTTTAGTGTTAATCTCAGCAAAGACAAATTTGGTGATAACAATCGATTTGTTGGTCTTTCGTAAAAAACATACGGCATAATGTAATCTTATAAAAAAGGGGGCGGGGCGATGGAAGATATTCAATATTGATCCTTCAAGGGACAAGTGAACGTGTGAGATATTCATTCCATACTGTAAAATATTGAGTTTTTGGTTGATTAATGTCGGGTGTGTCTGACGTACCGAATAATATATGATACATGTAGGTACATGTAGGTCTTGTTATTGAGACCGCCCGTGATACGGTCGGAAGATTTCGACTGCCAATGAAAAAGGAAAGAAAGAAAATTGGCCTAATACCAGGCTACTTACAGTCCACTGGAAGAGTTGTTGCAAGGATTCAACGTCCCCATTCGGACGTGGCTGAGCACAGCCCAATGGACGTTCCACTATCATTACTGCTAGGATTTATTGCCGGTCAGAAGAAGACCTGTAACGACGCTATTTCTATAGTTACTCTAGTTCGCTAACGAATTCGCTTCTTGTTCCATTGAATATAAAGGAAAGAGTTATCTAGTATATATATATATATATATATATATAGAAGTCTATAAAAAGGACCAACCAGCAAATTTACTATTATGTACCGGATAGTATAGAATAGACGATACTGTGCAGATAAGGAAAAAATTATATAAGTCTAGAGATTTGCACAACGATACTAATATAAGATGGTATTATACGAAGGTGTTGTTATTAAATCGTGTTGACAAATATTTCGGCTTAACAAATAGCCTTCTTCCGTGTCAATAATTTTAAAAATACTGATTATATGTATAAAAATAGCTCATTAATACAGGTAAGTTTTGGTCTATTGATTTAATCAAAAATCCTGAACATCATAATATAAAACAAAACTCAATACTCAAATATACGTGACTGTGTATATTTACATCCCAAAATGAGTGAAAAATAAAACTTAGTATTTTTTATTGATGCCGTTTGGATGATGTACATTTAGTTCCTTTATCGAAAAGCTTTCCCGAACCTGTCGCTGGGCATCACTCCAGTGAATGTTCTGTTCAATCACTAGGATCTTCATGCGGTTAAAGTCATCAAGTTTGTGACCAGACTGTCTGAAATGCTGAGAAACTGGGAGAAGTGGCTTTTTAGAGATATCACTCCTATGGCCATTGAGGCGTTTGTGGAAAGGCTGCTTTGACTCACCAACATATTGGAGGACACAAACCGAACATTCTAGAATGTAAATAACATTCATGATTTTGCAGTTAACATCGCAAAATATCCTATAGTTATTTTCGGTTGCCTTACTGTGAAAAGTTGATGAGTGATGCATCTGTAGGCAGCATTTGCAGCGTTTTTCATCACACGAACGACATTCTCCAGAAGTACTTCTATTATCAGACACTTCAGCCCGCACCAGCAGGTTCCGCAGACTATTGGGTTGCCTAAAAGCTATCATGGAGTGTCTGATAATAGAAGTACTTATGGAGAATGTCGTTCGTGTGATGAAAAACGCTGCAAATGCTGCCTACAGATGCATCACTACATGGCTTCATGGCTAATACCAAAAAGGTATAGCCAATTTCCCGTTTATTTTTTTCGTTGTTTGGTTCACATGTTCAAATTTAATAAATTGATGAATTTAATAATTTATTGATATCCTAAATCCTTCTTAATATATTTACTTCGGTAGAAAAGAAAGTAATCTTCTCATCTGGACTTTAATCTGCATATCTATTATCTATTTTGGGATTGAAAAAAAAAAACATCTTTTAACAAATGCGGTTTCGAGTCTATTTCTTCATTTTAATTTGGTTACACGTTCAGCAATAACTGATACAAATATGATATATTACCAATGATAAGGCCATATATTTGAAGCTGTTCAAAATTTTGTACATTATAGGTACGTGTATCAGATCGGACATTTTTTTTAACTGTTCTATATAAATAATCTTACTATAAGTTATCTCAGGTCTAAAAAAAATGTTACTGTGAGTGTTCTAATGAGTTTTGTTTGATAATTTTTTGTTTAATTCAGTTTAAGTAAAGGTTTGTTTTTTTTTACACGAGAAGGTCTGCTTAAAAGTTTATGATGATCTCTTTTTTTTTCGGCATAACAAACGGATGCTCTTTAATGTACACTAGGTGGATTTTCCTCTGTTCCGATGAAGGCAGTGCACGTCTTTCATTTAAAAGATTAAATAGTAGTTTTGCAACAGACGGCGGCACATCGGGCATTGACTTACCATTTTATAATTTGTAACAATTATGATTAACCATATATTTATGAGTTATAACAAAATTATTTTTTGTACATCTTTATTTAAGATGATCGAGATTTGAGAATGATATGAAAATAATAAGATATATATTACAAAAAAAGTTATCTCAGGTCTAGTTATCTAGTATGAAATATATCCACTGAAAATAAGCCCTTTAAAACACAAATCCCCGTTTACTCATTGCGAAGTTTATTTGCTAGTGTTTTTTAATCTTTTTTTTTAATGATTTTATTATATGTTTTTTGTGAAAATTTTGAGTGGTTGAACATGACATGGGTACCGATGCTACATAGAAAATTTGTTTAATGTCATCTGTTGCAATATGTACTAAGTATTACACGTGGACAGGATGTTCCCCAGAAAATTAAGGTATTCAAATTAAGTTATACACACCCCAAGGGTACACGCCACTATCATATGGAAAATTACTGCATGGGTCACCAGTAAACTGGTAATCAGCCATGCAACTAATCAGTTGACTGACCATGCCACTACAATTTAAAAAGTTTGTCATTAGATCAAAATGAAATATTTATTTTAATTTAAAATTGAAGAACTAAAAGGATTTATCATAATTATGAAGGGAAATAATTCAACAAAATCGGATTATTTCCCAAAAGATTATATTTTTTTAAAAAATTTTCCGGGGAAAATTGAAAACTGTATATATAAAGGGTCCCATCAAGGATTTTATAGAAATCCTTGGTCTCATGAAATGGATCTCACACAGAAATGCATAATTAAAATTTATACATTTATTGATTCTATGATTTCTTGAGAAATCAGGAGCGAAATATAACAAATATTTAGTTTTGATATTAAATTAAATTTACCTTTCCTCGCTATAATTCATTTGACATAACATTGAGGGATTTAAGGGTTTGTCCGTACAACGTGTTTGTCATTTATATTTCCAGAGACATAATACAAAATTATATGGATTGCAATTGCTGTATCAGCCCTTGCATCTGTTCCACTAGCCGTCTTATCATGTGTGTTGGTAAAGTCTTGTGATCTTAATAAGGCTGTTTGGTGGTATTTTTTTTTTTGGGGAGGGGGGGGGGGGGGATTAACATTCACCAGTTTGCTTAACCCAATTCTGAACGGTTTTTTAACAAACTGTCTGGGGTTGTCATCAAACATTTTAACCCGAACATTTCTTGTTTATGAAAAGGAAAAGAACTAGGTGGATTCCAGTTTTCATTTAGAATGCTATACATTTGAGCACTAGGTACAGATGTGGAAATAAAGCAATATCCTTAAATTCAGCTGGTGTCATTTTCTTAAAAAAATTTATAATGGATATGATAAGGTGAAAAAGTATTGGTCTTCAAATCAAGTTAACAGAAAACGTCGTTTTAATCATAAAACCAACAAAGTAATAAAATATAGAGATAGCCGCCTTGGATTGTCTTAATCAAATCCTTTCATCCTCTAATTATCGATTAAGTTTCCCTCAGGCCAATGTAAGTATGACATGTGTATATTTAAAGGAGTGTAGTGACAACGTGTCACCCTATTCAGTGCTGGATATTCAATTTATAGTAAAGATGACATTAAAACAAGAAATAGTTAATACAAAAATTATTTTAAAATTTTCAAGCGGGGGGGGGGGTGCGACAATAAAGATTATTATTATTTTGGAAATATAATAATATTTAAAGTCAAAAAATAGAATCCTTTAACTGAAATAAAATGATGACGTCTTAATAAAAGAAAAAAATATTGATTTGAAATCTTTGTCTTCTTTGTTTGATTATGAAAAATAGAACTGAAAAAAATATTTCATATTCTGACTGAATAAATTGACAAAGCACAGTTAATAGTTTACTCTTTTCATGAGGTAAAGTTTTCTTTGTTATAGTTCCATTGCAATACATGAATATGCAAACGATTTGAATCTTATTCCTTTGTGGTGTTCATAATATTACATTTATATTTGAATATTTATAAAATAAACACTTTTCCTGTTAAGTTTTAGTTTTCTTGTTTCAGCTTGCTATGAACAATTATTCAGTCCACTATATAAGAGTCAAGTAAATAAATTATTTCATTCGCTAGAATATTCCTACAATTCTTAGACAAAACATTTTTGCAATCTGTTCTTCAAAAATCTTCCTCAGTACATCTTTATTGGATGGAGCGATTTAAATGAGCGGACAAAGCAAGTTCATTTGGACAACAAAATACTAATATATTTTTTCATTCCTCCCTTCTTTCAATTGATAATTACGTTGTTGCATTTACATGATTAAGTTCTTGAGCATCTATGATCATGATGATATGACTCCTTTTTGTTTATAGTCATTATGTTGAAATTTCCTCTTTCTTATGTAGGAAAAAAAACACATTCCATTTCAAATTAATAAAAAAGTCACACTATGTAGAAAAATATCAACTTTAAGTTTGCTGTTCAGTATTGACCTGTTGAATGATGATCATGAAAACCAAGATGTCTGACCTACAAATACACAAAACTCAAAAATTACAAATGAAGAGAAATACAGCAATAAAATGGCTATTTTATCATGTTTATGTACATTTTGATAAAAATTTCATTTGAATATTTAAAATTGTAACAACTCTTATTTCAGTGCTTTGTGTCAATGGTTTTCATATTTGTTGTTTTTTGTGCCTTGTTGCAGTCTTTTGAGTTAAGCCAATTGACACAAATGTTTACAGTTTGTTCAAATGTTGTGCTGTTACTAAAACCACTGTCCCAGGTTAGGGTGGGTTGGGTGCTCACTAAATGTTTATTTTATTAGTTGATATTTGCTTTGAATTAGCTGTCAGTAACTGTGAGTACTAATAGATCTGTATGTTGAGTCTTTTTTGTTAAAGGGAAAGAATAAATTTCCAGCCACATCCGGTCTGTGTTTTTGGTAGCTGTTTTTCTGCTTTGTTGCATTCTAATGAGTTAATAAAATTGAGAATGAAAACGGGAATGTATCAAAATAACCTGACCCAAGAGCAGAAAAAAGCCCTTTTCAACTGATTTTATAGTTTTTATATTGAACTGACACTTACACCACTGTCCTTAATTAAAGGAGGATTTGGCGCCAGCAAACATGTTAAACCATGCCACATTTTGTAAGTGTCTGTCCCAAGTCAGGGGTCTATTGTTGCTATATATCATATATGTTTTTTTGTTTATTGTTTTGTGCAAAAATCAGGCACTTAGCTTTCACCTTTGTGGTGTTTCCCCCAAGCATGTTTAGCATGGATAGACACCATGCCCTTTTTAAATGACGCCATGCCCTTATTGAATTGTTTTACATTTGTTATTTCATGGCCTTTTATGGATTACTATGCAGTATAGGGTTTGCTCATTGTCGAAGGCTGTACAGTGAACTAATTTTGTTAAATTTAATGTCATTTGATCTCTTTTGGAGAAAAGTCTCATTGGCAATGGTACCGCTTCTTATTTTTATATCAACCCTGCCATATTTTGCCTGTCATTATTTACAGGTCATCATTGGCCTCTAATAAGTAATTGCATTGCTTACATCCACTTAATTGAACTCTGGTGGATAGTTTTCTCATTTATCATACCACGTCTTATTTTTCAAAATAATCATTATTCAAGGGCAATAACTTTTATAGAAGTGGACTTACCATTTAGGCTTTGTTGATGTCTGTAAATCTATTTTTGTTGATAATTTCTTTTGTTTATAGTTTCCCTTTATCTTTAATGTTCTTGCCCTACACATAAAAGAGTAAACATTATCATTTAATGACAATAACTACTATTACATAATGAGTAGGCAAAGTTCTGACAATTTTGGATCATTTGTATCTTGTCTTGCTCATCATTTTTGCTTGATATTATCAATGTTCTATGAAAATGAGGTCACAGTAATATTAAACTTGGCAGACAGACATCTTCTTATTTTTATATGACACCTTGCAGTCATTCCATACACCAACAAGTAGACATATGCTTATAATATCTGATAAAATGAATAAAATGCTCCGCTGGGCGCAGCTTGATACGACCGCAGAGGCCGAACCCTGAACAGTTGGGGCAAGTATGGACACAACATTCAAGCTTGATACAGCACTGAATTTGGATTGTGATTAAATATTTGACACAGCATACGTTTCTGACACAGAATGAATGTGGTCTAAGAACTTAAACAAATTTAATTCACCCATTCAAACCATATTATTATTATTTGCTTTTATATATAAATCAGAAATAACCAATTTAAAATGGAAAATTTAGAAAGATCCATACACTTTCACACAAGTTATTGCCTGAAACTAGAAAAATGCTTGTTTTTTGCCCCTTTTTGGACCCTTATTCCTAAGATTTTGAGGCAATTACCCCCAAAATCAATCCCAGCCTTCCCTTTGTGGTATGGTACCTTGCAGTACAATTACAGAGAGATCCATACACTTATACACAAGTTATTGTCTGGAAACTAGAAAAATGCTTGTTTTTTGGCCCCTTTTTGCTAAACATTTAGGGCAATTACCCCCAAACTCAAACCCAGCTTTCCCTTTGTGATATGGAACCTTGTAGTACAATTTCATAAAGATCCATACACTTACACACAATTTATTGTCATGAAACTAGAAAAATTCTTGTTTTTTGCCCCTTTTTTGGCCCCTAATTCCTAAAATTTTAAAGCAATTGCCCCCAAAATCAATCCCAGCCTTCCCTTAGTGGTTTGGTACCTTGCAGTACAATTTCAGAGAGATCCATACACTTGAACACAAGTTATTGTCTGGAAACTAGAAAAATGCTTATTTTGGCCCCTTTTTTGGCCCCTTATTCCTAATATTTTGAGGCAATTACCCTCAAAATCAATCCCAGCATTCCCTGTGTGATATGGAACCTTGTGGTACAATGTCAGAGAGATCCATACACTAACACACAAGTTATGTCTGGAAGTTACAAAAATGCTTATTTTTGGCCCCTAATTCCTTAACTGTTGGTACCATAACCCCCAAAATCAATCCTTATGGTAAAATTTCATAGAGATCCATTCACTTAAACTAAAGTTAGAGTGCGAAAACCAATGTGTCTTCGGACGACGACAACGCCAACGTCATACCAATATATGACCGCAAAAATTTTTTGCGGTCGTATAAAAAACCAAGAAAACTTAGCATTGACCAAAGAACCATAAAATGCGATCATGGTTGTATGAATCTGCCAGACAGACATGCACACCTTACAATCGTTACATCCGCCAAATATAATTTACCTGTTGCTTAAAGCATATGATAAACTGACAAAACAATGCAAACTTTTCATTGACTAATGAACCATGAAAATGAGGTCAAGGTCATATAAAACATGTCAGACAGACATGTGCATCTCACAATCATTCCATTCACCAAATATAGGGGCCTTATTCATGTTATTGCTTACAGTATCCGAAAAAAAACACAAAAACTAAACATTGTCCAATGTACTATGAAAATAAAGTCAAGGTAAGATGAAACTTCTCAGTCAGACATATGCACCTTACAATCATTCCATACACCAAATATAGTTGACCTATTGCTAATTTGAAAATAAGAAAATAGAAATACTGACCAAAAAACAAAATAATAACATTGAGCAATGAACCATAAAAATGAGGTCAAGGTCGAATAAAACATGCCAGACTAACATGTACATCCTTAAAAATTTTCATACACCAAATATACTTGACATGTTGCATACAGTATTAGAAAAACTGGACATTTTACCTAGGAACAGTGATGTCATGAACTAGGAAAATTAGTCTGGGGAAATAAATTACTGACATCGGACTAAATATACTAGTAAATTCTGTATCCATGGACTTTTTATACTAGTTATATTTGTCTGACCAGACAATTTATCTCTTACACTAGTTCTCAGAGAGACATGTCACCTTACCTTGACACATTATTCTGACTCTGAACAAACCAGTATTTGCTCTTACTCCTTAATAATACTGCGTGCTTAGGGGAGAAGCAGCAAATATCAACTTTAAAGTCTTTAGTTTTACCTGGTTGGGTTCAAAATAAACAACCTTCTGCACGTGAGGTGAACACGCTACCACGAGACCAGGCAGTATAATATAAGGAGTTTACCAAAGATTTAAAGTTTCCAAGTTTTTGCAAAAACTGGATCAAAATCATCATCGAAAAGCAATAACTTTTTAATAAGATTTAAGTTTCTCTTTAATTATTACAGTTTTCGAGATAAAAAGGCAAATTCAAGAAATATGAAGAAAAAAAAAATGGTTAAAATCTGTATTTAAGGCAACAACTCCTATGAGTCAGCTGCCAGTTTTGATGCAAATGGACAGTAGATTTTTTTTTCAACATTCTGAACATTTCTACCCTTGTCAGATATTGTCTATCTATTTTAGCCTTTTGTAGCTTATAAGCAGTTTGGCTTTTTAGCCCATTGTTGAAATCTGTACAGTGACCTATATAGTTGTTAACTTCTACGTTTTTAGTTTCTGTTGAAGAGTCGTCACATTGGCAATGATACCATATTTGTATATGTTTTTGTCATGTAGGTGTAAGGAGACAACCTTTTGATTTTCTGGTGGGATAAAAAGGGGAGACAGATTTTTTATCACCTGGCCTGGTAAGTTTTTCAGGGTTCGTAAGGATAGAAAACCCGGCAAATTGTAACAAACCCATGTGGTACGACCTTCTTTGCCAAAAGACTAGTCCAAATAATTATGACGTCTTGCAAGGCTATTTTAACTTTTTTCTGGGCACGTAATAGTCAAAGTTGTGACTGAGTGCGGAAATATGAAGATAGATAGATAGAAAAATTATAAAGGGACATAACTGAAGAACGGTAAAAGTGACGCTACCCAAATTTGAACTTGATCTGAGTTTTGTGGTAATAAGCATTGTGTGTAAGTCTCATAACATTTGGTTGAGGCTAACTTTAGAGAACAGAAACTAAAAATTCAGCAATTTTTCTATTTGTAAACACGCATAACTCTAGAACGGTTGTGTATTAGTTTTAGAACATTTGGTTGAGACAAACTAAAGTTAGAGAACGGAAACGAAAAATTCAGCAATTTTTATGTTTATAAAGGTACATTACTCAAAAATGGTAAAAGTGTCGCCACCAAATTTCGTACTTAATCTGTATTATGTAGTAATAAGCATTGTGTATAAGTTTCATAACATTTGGTTGAGGCAAACTAAAGTTAGAAAACGGAAACAAAAAATTTGTACTTGATCTTAGTTTTGTGGTAATGAATATTGTGTATAGGTTTCATAATGTTTGGTTGGGGCAAACTTAAGTTACAGAATGGAAACTAAAAATTTGCAATCTTTCAATTTATAAAGGGGCATAACTCAATAATGGTTAAAGTGACACTACCCAAATTCAACTTGATCTGTGTTTTATCAGTGGAAGTCAAAATTAAACATTGCATTGTATAAAGCATTGATTGTAGTTGATTCAACTATAATAATGGACAAAGGAAGATAATTCCAATTTTAAAAATTACTTGATATTTAGAAGAAAATAAAAATTTTGCAATTTTTCCATTTATAAAGGGGCATAAGACTAGAACGGTTAAAGTGACGCCACCAAAATTCAAACTTGATTTGTGTTTTGTGGTAATAAGCATTGTGTATAAGTTTTTACTTTAACATTTGGTTGAGGCAAACTCAAGTTAGAGAACGGAAACCAATTTTGAGACGTACGGACGTATGTACGTACAGACGGACAAGGGTAAAACTTAATGCCCCCACCGCTACGGCGGGGGCTTAAAAAAAATAAAATAGCCTTGCTAGACGTCATAATTATTTGGACTACCAAAAGGTGTAACCTAATTCTTACTTGTTTAGGGAAGAGGGGATTAACTGAACCACTATTCAATCTAAATCAGTGAACTGAAATATTGTCTTTTGCAGTTTTACTCGGGGGGGGGGGGGGGGGGGCACTTCCTATATACAAGGTGATAGGACGTGCCGCTGGAATAGGTCACTTTTTCCAGCTTGAAAATATGGGAATAGGTGGGGAAAACTATCAGAAATATATGATAAGGTCGATAAAGTTCCAATTACTTGTATAGAATAGAATAGAATAGAATAGAATATTTTTATTTCCCAAATTACAGGGCCCATAAAGGGCATAAAATCAGATACAATTGATTTACATAATTGGTAACAACAACAATAATAGTCACTTGAAAATATATATTTAGTATATTAGCATTGGTCAGAATCAGAGCCAAAAACCACATATATATTGTGAATAAAAGAATAAAATTACATTATATGCATTCATTCTCAAATCATTTACTTGACTTAGTGTCAATATGCATACCTGATCTCCTTAATTCAAAACAGTCACAAATATAACAGCCCAGTTTTTCCATAAGAGTTACATTTTCTTGAGTCATGAGCCATAAAAATTTAGACGATTTATTTAAATTTTTAAAATTATAACAATTGTCAGATATGTATTGAAAAAAGTCTTCCCTTTGAGTATCATAAAGAGGACATTCCAACAAAAAATGAAGCTCATCTTCAACTTTACCAAGTGAGCAATTTGAACAAAGACGCTCAGATCTTTCTATATATTTTTTTGAATATCTGTCTGTCTCAATTTTTAAAGAGTGAGCACTTATTCTTAATTTACAAATTGACTGTCTTTTTTTAAAGTCCTGTAGTTCTAAATATTTTTCTTTTTTAAAACAATTTTTTATAGAAAAATAAGTACCAAGCTTCCCTTTTTCGGA